CCACGCTGATCTTGCCGCTGTCCACACACTCGCGTATGAAATGGAATTTCGTGTCAATGTGTTTGCTGCGATCGTGTAGGACAGGGTTCTTGCTTAGGGCGATTGCGGACTGGTTGTCCATCTTCAATGCAGGCGGCTGAACGACGTCGCCGGTGATGTCGCTCAGCAGCTGGACAAGCCACACGGCCTGGCAAGCCCCAGCCGCCCCGGCCATGTACTCAGCTTCGCAGGTCGAGAGGGCGACCGTCTTCTGCTTCTGGGATTTCCATGTGACTGGCATGTCACCCAGGAAGAACAGAACGCCAGCGGTGCAGCGCCTCTCGTCGACGTCCCCGCCCATGTCGCTGTCGGTGTAGCCGATGAGGTTGTTGACGCCGTTCGACAGCTTGGGGTAAACGAGCCCGTAGTCGATCGTCCCTGCGATGTAGCGCAACAGATGCTTGACGGCTACAAGGTGCTCCTGTCGCGGCGTCTCCATGAAACGACTGACATACCCCACCGCAAAGGCAATGTCAGGCCGCGTGTGCACCAGGTACCTCAGGCTGCCCACCAGGCTGCGGTACATGGTCGCGTCCACCGTCGGCGTCGTGCTCTTGGTGGATAGCTTGAGGCGGACCTCCATTGGCGTCGAGATCGGCTTGCACGAAGCCAGACCCGCCTTCTCCAGCAGCTTCTTCGCGTACGCTGCTTGTCCCAGGGTGATCGCGTTCCGGCCCTGTTTCACCTCAATGCCGAGGTAATACGAGAGCAGGCCAAGATCGCTCATCCGGAAGAGCCGACGCATCTCCTCCTTGAACGCGCCAACTTCTTCAGGGTTTGCCCCAGTGATGATCAGGTCGTCTACATAGACGCCTACCACCACCCTCGTCTTCCCGGCGCCGCGCGTGTACATGCCGTGCTCGCTAGCACAGCGCCTGAACCCAAGCTTGCGCAGGCTGGCGTCGAGCTTCGTGTTCCATGCTCGCGGCGCCTGACGGAGCCCGTACAAGGCCTTCTGCAGCTTCAGCACCTTCCCTTCATGCCCTGCAGCAATGAAACCCGGCGGCTGCCGGACATAAACCTCCTCCTGCAGCTCCCCATTAAGGAAAGCCGACTTGACGTCCATGTGATGGACAAGCCAGCCCTCCCGCGCAGTCACGGCGAGAAGCATCCGAATGGACTCCATCCGTGCAACCGGGGCGAACACCTCCTCAAAATCGACCCCCTCTTGCTGGACATAGCCCTTGGCGACGAGACGGGCTTTATGCTTGACAATGGCGCCTGCCTCATCACGTTTCACCTTGAACACCCATTTCAAGCCAATCGGGCGATGGCCATGGGGAAGGTTCACGAGCTTCCATGTCCCGTTCTGCTCGATGGCGGCCATCTCCTCCTTCATCGCCTGGCGCCAGCACTCCTCCCTTCGTGCCTCCTCGAACGTGGCTGGCTCTTCTCCCACGGCCAGGAGCAGGTCCTCATCGACCGCAAGTTCCCGCTCCGCCAGGTCCTGCACCACGCTAGGTCCCAGCACATTGTCAATTGTGCGGAACCGGAGCGGCGCTTCGTCATCGTGGTCGTTGTCGAGGTCGAGAGCGCCAGAGGGAGGTGTCACGAACTCCACAGGAGGCGCTGGCGTGGTCGAAGCAGGTGTTCCAGGGGCACCGCCGTGCGCGCTCCCTGGCGAGCTGGTGCCTAAAGCCGATGTGCCCGGCGTGGCTGGCGTCCCTAGGGACATGCCACCCGGGTGCACTGGGCTTCCTCCTGGCGAGCCCACTGGGTCACCACCCAGTTGGGGCCCACCTACATCCTCATGGCGCGCGGTCACCGTCGTGTATTCGACGTGGAACGGCTCCTCGTCCGCCGCGTGAGCGCCGCCGTCGCGCTCTGTCCAGTCCCACGCCCGGCCTTCATCAAACACCGCGTCCCGCGAGATATGAACTCGCTTAGACACAGGGTTATAGAACCTGTATGCCTTGGTCCCGATCTCGTACCCGATGAACACCATGGGAGTGCTCCGGTCATCAAGCTTCTTGAGGTGACCGCCGGCGACCTTCACGTGTGCAACACAACCGAATGTCCGAAAGAAGTGCACAGGAGGTTTTAAACCATACCAAGCTTCATACGGGGTGATCCCTTCCACGCTTCTTGTCGGCGATCTGTTGAGGATGAACACGGCGGTGAGCACGGCCTCCCCCCAAAACCAGCCGGGCATGCGCATGGCCTTGAGCATGCTGCGCGCCATGCCCAGCACAGTTTGGTTACGCCTCTCCACCACGCCGTTCTGCTGTGGCGTATACGGCGCGGTGAGATGGCGTTGGACGCCCTCCATGGCGCAGTACTCTCCAAAGGCGCGTGAAGTGAACTCCCCCCACGATCGGTACGCAGGGTGCCGAGTTTGCGTCCCGCCTCCGCTTCAGCTCGCGCCTGCAGGCGGATGATCGCATCGGCCGCTTGGTCCTTCGAGCTCAGCAACACAAGCCACATATAGCGACTCTTGTCGTCGACGGCGAGAAGGAACACCTTGTTGCCGCCTGGCGTCTCCGGTGCGATCGGCCCACACAGGTCAGCATGGACCAGGTCGAGTGGATCCTTGGCACGGTAGTTGCTCGACGTCGGGAACGGACGGCGCCGCTGCTTGCCCGCCATGCAACTATCACAGATTTGCTCGACGTGTTCGATCTGTGGCAGTCCCCGCACCATCTGTCGCTTGGACAGTTCCTTCAAGCCCTGAAAACTCAAGTGTCCGAACCTGGCGTGCCACTTGGCTAGCAGCCGCCGATGTTGATCCCAAATCCTCAAGACGCCGTGTTCTATGAGAACCTTGTAGTCGTCCTCGTCGAGCTGTCCGAGGCTGACAATGTTTGTCGTGAGCCTCGGAATGTAGTAGACCCCAGCCAGCTCCCGGTGTTCCCCGTTCTTGAGCTTGAAGAGGATTGCACCACGCCCTTCAATCGCCACGGTGGAGCCGTCCCCGAACCGGACAGTGCCATGCACACCGGTGTCCAGCTCGGAGAAGACGGTACGCACGGGCGTCATGTGATTCGTGGCCCCCGTGTCGAGGATCCAGCGAGTGTTCCCTCCTTCAGTCTTCTCACCGAGCTGCACGAACAGCTTGTCTTCACGGATGTGGATCGGCTCCGGCTTGGTGATACTCGCCGTGATCACGCCCACGAACGGCGTCGGGGCGCTGTCCTCCTCCAGGACCCATTTCACCCCTGGATGGGCGAGCTGTGCAGGATGTGAGTCTCCCTCCTCGAACACCCAGTGTGCATGAAACACGCACTCCTCCTCCTCCAGGGTAGTGTGCAGCTCCCCTAGGTTCACCTCGTCGTCGAGCGACGTCACGACGAGGTTGAGCGCAGCCTCCTCCTCGTCAGCCTGAGCGACGTGTGCCGCCTCGTCCCTCTTCTTCTTGCGACATTCGCGGGCCCAATGTCCCGTCTTGCCGCAGTATGCACACTCGTCGCTCGCGAGTTGCTTGCCCTTCTTCTTGTTGCCGTCGACAGCACCGTTGTTGCCGACAGGTGGTCTGGAGCCACCACCACGTCCTCCCGTTCGGCCTCGGCCGCCGCGCCCACGACGCTGGCCTGACGACGATGATGACTTGCCATTGTCCCCGCCCGGACCGTCACCCGAGAGTTGCAACCGCGTCACGACGCGCGCGACTAGCTCGTCCTCGGTGAGGTTGAGGCGCGCTGAAGAGCCACCTCCGTTGAGGCCGTACCGCTCCTCGGCCGCCTTGAGCCTTCCGACCAGCTCCTCTACACAAATCTGATCGAGATCGAGAAGAGTCTCAATGGCCATCACGATCTGTGCATACCTCGGTGGCGTGGCCTGCAGGAACTTGCGGATGATCTCTGGTTCAGGGTACGCCGCGTCGAGGACTTCGAGTTGATTTGCCAGATCGCTGATGCGAACGCCGAACTCGTCCACCGATTCTCCGTCCTTGAACTTGAGATCTTGGAACTGCCGACGTAGTGTGTTCGCCTTCGCCTGGCGTACGCGATCGACGCCAAGATGCATCTTCTTGAGTGCCTCCCACGCCACCTTCGCCGTAGCCTTGCTGGCGATGCTGCCATGCAACTCCTCCGGGAGGCCGAGTGCGATGGCTTCCAGCGCGTTCCGGTCCTCGATGAAGTCGGTGGTGCCGATGGTCACCGCCTCCCACCAGCCCCGCGCCTGGAGCTTGAGCTTCATGAGGGCCGCCCATGAGTAGTAGTTGGATTTGGTGAGGAGAGGGTACTTGTCCCTCCCCCCATCACGTACGACCCGGTTGATCACCAGGCCGCGTTCTCCCCTGCCGCCGTTGCTTGAACCGCTGCCACCGCCGCTTCCCCGTGTCGGCGATGACGAACGGTTCCTCCGCCGATCCATCAGCGCAGCAGCGATCGCGCGGTCACGTGTCCACCGCCGGAACCTTGCTCTGATACCAGTTGAAGGCTCTACTTCGTCGGCGCCTGTCGCCGGAGACGAAGAAGATGGCCGGAAACCTCCTGGAGACAAGGATGAACTCACGCGAACACTTGGACACACACGAATTTTGGTGCTGCTTAAACCGGCGCAGCTTTTCTGGACTCTATTTGTCATATAAATAGAACATTACAGGACTCCCTAACCGGCCACGAATGGCCACGACGCTGCGACGTCGTCGCTCCGCCATTGCCGCGCCATCCCACGACTGGAGCTAAGAAATCGCCACCACTGCTGCATGTGCGCCCACTACGTCCTCTGACTGGCCTGTGCCATCCCACAGGCGAGATCGTAACTGCGCACTCCTACAAACGAGGACAGCCTCCGCATGAACGCAGCATGCGTCGGGCTGGAACAGACGCGCCAGGTTTGGTCAGACCGGCTCACACCACTAAGTCTACGACCGGGATACAATGGAGCAAATGAGCTTGGATTATCTAACAGTCGGCTCCTGCTCGTCCGTCACTACTGACTCGATCTCTTAAACTCATCGGCTTTCAAGAATCCATGCAAGAATCCGATCTCGAAACTACAGACCATCGATTGCTAACATGGAAGCAGTGATGGGAAGGATTCATCTTGTACTGGTGCAGTGCGTGGCTGCGGCGGCGCTGATATCTTCATTGACCGGCGGCGCCGCCGGCGAGGCAGCGGCGGCCGCGGCGCAGGAGCTGCAGCAAGGCTTCTCCGTCGCCCACGACCAGTCCTACTCGCAGTTCCAGCCAGTGCTCGCCGACCCCACCGGCGTCTTCGCGCTCGGCTTCCTCCGGGTCAACGCCACCATGCTGGACCTCGCCGTCCTCCACCTCCCGTCTGCCTTCCCGCTCTGGCGCGCAATCCCCGACCGCCCCGCGCCATGGTCTACAGCCGCCTCCCTCTCCTTCGACGGCGGCCTCGTCCTCACCGACCGCGCGGCCAACAAGGTGCTCTGGTCCACCGCTGCCACCTCTGCCTCGGCCGGCGACCGCGCCGTCCTCCTCGACACGTCCAACCTCCAAATCCAGAGCACCGGTGGCACTTCGCCCGATGTCTTGTGGCAGAGCTTCGACTACCCGTCGGAGACCATCGTCCAGGGCCAGAACTTCACCTCCGCGGCGACGCTTTACACCATCGACCGGCGCTTCGCCATGCGGCTGGGGAGCAACTACTTCGGCCTCTACATCGAGCCGCCGCAGCCGTCTTCGGGCGGCGGCGTCGCTGCCGCCATGTACTTCAGGCACACGGCGATGGAGGCCAAGGCCCAGATCGTGTCCGGCGGCGGCCCGACCTATGCGCGCGTGGAGCCCGACGGCTTCCTCGCCATGTACCAGAGGGAGGGCCCACCCGCCGACGTGCTCTCCTTCGACACCTTCAACCGCGGCGTCCGCGCCCTCCGCCGCATGACTCTGGAGCCCAACGGCAACCTCCGCGCCTACTACTGGGACGGCGCCCGGTGGGCCCTCGACTACACTGCCATCAACGACCCATGCCAGCTGCCCACCACCTGCGGCGCCTACAGCATCTGCGCGGAGCCCAGCGGCCGCTGCGAGTGCCTGGCCAACGCGACCGATGGCTCGGGCTGCGCCGCGGTCGTGCCCGCCGCCTCCATCGGGAGCAGCCTTTGCGGCACCACGGGCGGGGAAGTCGGTGGGCTGTACTGGGCGGTGCGGCGGCAGGGCGTGGAGCCGGTGAACAAGGAGCTGCTGTGGTCCGAGCAGGCGACGTCCGCGACGGACTGCGAGGCGCGGTGCGAGCGCAACTGCAGCTGCTGGGGCGCGGTGTACAGCAATGGGACCGGATTCTGCTACATCATGGACTACCCGGCGCAGCTTCTGGTGGCGGGCGACGACAGGAAGATGGGCTACTTTAAGGTCAGGAGCCTGGAGGAGGAAGGGACGCGCCGGCACGGCGGTGGGCGCGCGAGCGGGGTCAAGGCGGCGCTGCTTGTTGTCGGCATCGGAGCGGTGGTCGCTGCCGCTGCGTTCGGGGCGTACAGGGTGCGGGACAGGAGGCGGCGGACCGCCGCGGACGCGAGGCGGCAGATGGGCGCCGCCGATGATGGGCTCTCGCCGGGGCCGTACAAGAACCTGGGGTCCTTCAGCTCCGTCGAGCTCACCAACTCCTTCCGGAGGTAACCAGGCCTGAGGCGAAGGCGACTGAGATGTGGAGCTGTCCGATCGCATGGATGTCTCCGCCGTGAATGGGACAAGGACAAGGCAAGGACCAAGAGCACCAGGACGGTGAGGACGACGGCGGCGGCGAAGGATGTGCCCGATTGTTGGGTTTGGATTGAAGGAAAGAGAGATTTGTCAGTTCGCTAAGGAATAGTATTTTCCTCAAGTAACAAATCAGTTTAGCTTTTTAGTTAAGCGAACAAACAGGGTCAGGCCTAGAGCTTATTGTCTAGAATTGAGCCCAATTCCATGTTAAGGCCCAAGTGTGTTTGTGCTGTTCAGCTTTGTGGCTGAGCACAACAAATACATTTATATTTTGCTAAAAAAACAAATATATTCTATCATATACTCTTATCTTATCTATATACTCTTATAAAGCTAAACCCCGCTAACTATTTCTCTAAACATACAAGCTGTCCACCTAATCAGTCCACTATAGAATGCATTTATGACCAACTAGCATTTGTAATTATGATCTACATGTCAGCAAGACACATTATCCACTAACATACATTTAGTTGTCCACATCAACGTGTCACGTCATCCACTAACATTAACTTCATAATTGTTGATCCCTTTGTATAAGTAATTTTATTCTAAATTATCAGCAATTTCCGCGACAACACGTGGGGTATTCACCTAGTACTTTTATAAAGTAAAACCCTGCTAAGGTCATTTACTTTTATTTCTCTGCAACCACGTTGATCCACGTCATCTCTTTTATTTTCACCGTTGGATCATGAGCTTCCAAGCACATCTGTCCGTCCATGTGTCTTAATCATGCTGGCCATTTCTAGAGTCTGCATAGGAACGAACAGTCATATTTAATTCCACTGCGCATCCTAAATGAATCATCCGAAGCACCAACAGCCACGACCTTTCACCTCTCCCGGTCATTTATGCACCCTGTTATTTATGCAGCACTACAGCAGCAAGGAGCCAAGGATCGTCTTCGCTCTCAGCTCGGTGATCGATCTTTAGCGACAAATCGATTGCACAAGCCAGCTACCTATGGCAAATACCCTGATCGCTTGGGTAGATAAGGCATGGCTGAAAGTATTATTAGCTGATTTATTGTGAAAGAAAAATATTATTCATTGACTGAAAAAGTACAGCTTATAAGCCCAGCGAATCTCCAGATCGATCTTCATCGACGATTCTATATTGCTGATTTTTTTATGCATAAACCATCTGCTGCCAGTACACATGAGAATTTTTCTGCTTCTCTCTTCAATAAAGTCAATCGATGATATCGTACGCTGTTGGCTATTTAATTTTTGTTAATCATGATTGAGTTGGATGCTTCTGTTTGGCTGTGATAGATTATTAATTATTCAGATTTCATTTTATGCATACTACGACGTCATTTAGAATACACCTCCAGATTAATATGGTATTTATTTTCAATTAGTTATTCTTAATGACTTTTACTGCAAGAACCGGACACACTAAACATGAATTAGCTGCCATCATCACTTCGCATGGCAGAAGCCAGAGGTATATGTGTATTCATTTAACTTTTTTTGTCATTTTTCTAACTTATGTTTTTATATTTTTGAATTATCATGCAGTCTTCAGGAACCATTTCTGGAGGTTATCACTTTAAATTACTAATGTGCTAAATTTGAATATATCTCTTCTTTTTTCAACAAACAATATATATTTCCTTAATCTTTATAATTGTCTGTCTTCAGGATGATGTAGCTTATGCCCCTCATGGTTTCTGAGATTTACAAATTGTTTGTGTTTTCTACAGAGAATAGAAATGCCTTTTCTTTAGTGGGTTCTATCTATATTATTGTCCTTTTCTCTAAAATATCGTTTAGGAATTAAAATATCATGTTTTTTGTTTTATGGAATATACTTCATGTAAGTCTATTGTTCAAGTCAGTGATAATATCATTTACGAATTTCTGTTTAAGAAACATTTGTCCATTTCCTTTAAGTGAAAATTACTTCTATTGTGTAGTTTTCTTCAAGTTAGTCATTAACCCCATGTGAGGCTTCCTTTATTTGGAATACAATGCACCATATCATGCTATTGGCAAATTCCAAATGCTCTGGATGCTCTCCATAATTCATTATCTAAAATCTTTTTCTTCTTCCAATAACAATTTTTTTAAATCCCGCAGCAACACTGAGGAATTCACCTAGTTTATATTAGATATAGAATACAATACAGTTTTTATATTTTTAATTAAATATATGGATAGTGCGAGATTATAAAGACTCACGCTGTAACAAAACTTCAGCTTACAACTAAACCTACAGTGCTCAGGACCAAATTATAAAAACACGCTGCAACAAAACTTCAGACTAAACCAAACCAAGGACCCAATTGCAAGACACAAAGGACCAAAGTTTATTTTCTATGGATTGGTAGGGGCCGCACGAACGCGTACCCCTCTACCACAAATTATGACGTCCACTCTCCCACTTGGGGAGATGGTAGGCCTGCACACGCACCAGGTGCAATGTGAGCCACAGACCCAGGCCATGCCCCTTCATGATCGGCTATTGACGCCGTCCAGGTAAGTAATAGGCAACGTCGCCCCTGGCCTTTCTTTTATAACGAGCCTTCCCGTCTGGTTGTCCTCAGGCAGGCGAGGTGGCATCTGCGCTCCGAGTCTGAACTGTGCATTCTTCCTTGGGCCGACTTGTTGGTGGGCCTGCATGTCCGGGCCGAATTTCGTGCCTTCCATTCTGGTCCGTTCCATTCCATGTCATCCAGATTGTATACACTGACTGGACACTGCGGAGTGCGGAGTGAATGAAAAAAAAAATTCGATCCAGGCTATTGGATCACAGACATGTGCATCCATTAATTCAACTAAGACTGTACAAGCAAGCGCAATGAGCTTTATGATCAGAATGAATCCTGTTAAAATTAAACCAGATCGAATTCCCCAGACTAGCCCCTCCCTAAACACAATCTCAATTCACAGAATTCCGTTCCAATCTCAGTTCCCAGGCATGTGTCAGCGAGCATGCACTAGCCTAGCTAGCAATGTTCGGACGCGTCGGCGCAGTGAGAATGGTCAGCAGCAACAGCAGCAGAAGGGCTCGGGTCTCCCGAGGTGGCGGGCTCTTCGGAGATGATCTCCAGCAGGCCATCGGCGCCCATGTCGTCCGTGTGGTGCTGGTGTCCGACTGCGTGCGGTGACGTGCCGAGGTCGGACGAGGACGCGGGGACCTGCTGGGCGGTGGCCGCCGCGGCCGCGGCCACGGGGCCCCTCGCTGCGGCGCCGGCGACGAGGAAGCTGTAGTCGAGCGGCGTGGCGCGGGTGCCGTTCTTGGCGCGCAGGGAGGCGCGGCAGACGGGGCAGGTGGGGTGCTGCCTCAGCCAGGCGTCGATGCAGGCCGCGTGGAAGGCGTGGCCGCAGGCGGGCAGCACGCGCACCATGTCCTTCGCCTCGTACTCCTCCAGGCACACCGTGCACCTGCACCGCCACAGAGAGCACGCGCGTTCTTGTTAGTCAATACATGGGGAAAAAATCTCTGCAGTTTATATCTGGGCACTACTGTTGTGTTCCTCTTGCAGAGGCGTCAGGGTTACTACGTGATTGGTGATCGTCATATTCAGCACGGATGTTAATTGTTAAGACATTCAGACTGTTCGCTGAGTTTATCAGTTAGTCAACAGTATTTTTTTTTCACAATAAACCAGCACCAACCGAGTTTATCAGCCCAGAAACCAATCAACGAACAGACTTATTGAACATAAATGCTACTGTACAGCGGGCCCAACGGCCAATGTTGCTTTCACTTTGACTGTGTGCCAATGTCAACCTTAGTTTGACTGAGTCCCAAATTGTCAATGAGGCATTGTTTAATTCCTCCTCTAAAGTTGAGTCTCTATCACATCGGATGTTTGACACATGTATGAAATATTAAATATAGACTAAAAAAATAACTAATTGTACAGATTACGACTATTTTACGAGACGAATTTTTTAAGCCTAATTAGTCCCTGATTTGACAATGTAGTGGTACAGTAACATGTGCTAATGATGGATTAATTAGGCTTAATAAATTTATCTCGCGAATTACTGAGGATTTGTGTAATTTGTTTTATTATTACTATCCAAACACTCCTATATAATACCCGTATGTAACACCAGATATGCCATCGCTAAACTTTATCCTCTGAATTTAAACAACATCTCAATATGGGCTTCCAGAGGGTGTGATAAGCCAGTTCCAGAACTGCATATGCACAGCACCTAGACTGGAGTACAATTTATGTTTCAGCAATAAAAAAATTTATTCTTGTACGTTGTCATATTGGCTCTCTCTATGGGCCGCAAAAGGGTTTATGAATTGTCCCTATTGTCTACTGCCATGCCATGGTCTACAAATGGTAGCAAATTAAGGTTAGCAAACCGAGGAGGATGCTACTTTAATCGTGGCAAAATGCAACTTTTACTTGGGGCGCGTTTAGATCCGAAAATTTTGGGTTTTTTACCATCAGAAGAGGAGGAGTGTCTAACTTTAATCGTTTGAAAGCAAATGCAATAATGCAATTTTTTTTTTCGCTCACATTTAGTCTTGGTCAAAATTTTTTGGCTTTTGGAGCCAACTAAACGGGGCCTTGGTCTATAATCCATCTCCTATTGGTCATCTCAGGTACCAAGACGAGCATCAAGGAAGAGCAAGAGAAAAAGGCTTGGATATCTTAACTGCGACTCCTCCTGCACCGGCGGCGGTTGCTGGCCACCGCCGTCGCCGAGCTTGACGGTGGGGAAGGTCGTCACGACGGACGGCTCCAGGCCGTGGATGCCGCGCTCCACCTGCACGGCCACACAAAAACGATTCTGATTCCCATTCGTCTTCATCCATCCAAAACCCCTGCCTGGTGCACGGTCGCTATCAAAGAGCACGGAAGGATGGATAGATAGCAGGGCGGGTCGGGAGAACGCCTCACGTTGTAGCCCTGGACGACGACGGCGTCGCCGGCCGCGGCCGCTCTGGCCCTGGATAGGTGGAGGCGCGCGCAGAGCAGCCTGGTGAAGACGAAGAGCACGAAGAAGGCGCTGACCGAGAAGGCCATCACCGTGGTCACCATGTTCATGCCCATCCCGCCGGCGCCGCCCTTTGAATCTGACATTGCTCCAGCATCTCAGAACCGGCGCGGCCGTCTGCGCAACAACAATCAAAACGGCTCATTCATGCTCTTTGCCGCCTATTGAAGTCTCTGAGAGATTAACCCGCTTCTCTCCACTGCTACGAAGTACGAACGTACCTGGACGGTCGAATTGCTCGGCCTGGCCTGCAACTGCAAGGACGACGCGCTATCCACTCTGCATCCCGCCCCGTTGTTGCAGGGTAATTAAAGAGCACGAGGACGAGGAGGAATAACCGCGGATAGAGGCAGGCATGGCGATGGCGATGGCGATGGCGAGTATGCCCTGCGCCTGCCGCGCCTATGGGAAGTTGTTTAATTTTTAGCTTCTCCTAATCGCGATAAATAATCTATGCTCACTTGTCGACCGCAGGGTGGCAATATTCATATCCGGGGGCGGGGAATCTAATCCCATTGTTAATGCGCTTGCTTGTTGTCGTTGGATTAGCCTGCGATTAGCAATTCAATCATGGAGACTGGAGGGGCCCAACGGCCCGGGCAAAGCGAAAGCTCTCACTTTCACCGTAGCCGCGGTGGTGCCCGCTCGCTGCCTTGTTAATTCTCCTCTTGGTGATGGACTGATGGGTGCGCAGCGTGGTGGACCGCCTCTGCTCGCCGTTGTTGCCGTGTCGAATTTTTTTCGCTCCTTGCGACAGGTTGTGACTTGTGTGATAGTATTCGCAGTGTCGTCCGCGGCACATTGTGAGTTGTGACCGACCTTCTTTTTAATTTTATTATTTTCCTTTTATTAATTATTAATCGTGACCAAACTGTGGCCGACCTGCCCGGCAAACCATCTGCTTAAACTGTTATACACCGTCAGAGCAGATGACACGGAATGGCGAGTGAAATGCACGCATGTACCATGTATTTTATATTTTATATATATGCGGTGATTAGAATCAGATTCTAGACGAAACCAATCCAAAATCCTACCCAAACGTGGTACATGCGCTGACTAGAATCTGATTGTGTTGGCCGCATACGGTAGAACCAAGCGAGCAATGAACTGGCAGTCTGCACGTCGTGATCTTCCTTGCGCAGAGAAGGAACTCCCCGCTCGTGCAATGAAGGAAGGGCCCGTGAGGAACAGGAAGGAGCTGCACACCTCTCATCTCCGGTGATGGTGGTAGGCAGTGGTGTAGCGAGCCTGCGAGGGAGGCGCCGGTGACGTAGGAAGGGCAGGCGGGGGTGGAGGGGCCTCTAGTGGTGGTGGCGGGGAGGCACCGGAGGTGGTAAACAAGCCGACAGTGGAGATGATGGGGCGTGAAGGGCGAGGCGTAGTCTGGAAAATACGTCTTAAGGGCATATAAGTTATTTTACTCTTAGTATTGGGATAACATTCGAGATTGTCAAACACCATGATTTTTGAAGCTGTATTTTTTTAACCACAACTTAAAAAAATCATGATTCGATTAGATCGATTCTCATAAAAGCTATTCCAAACAGGGCTTCAAGGCTTGAGAATGCTTTCTTTTTTTTTTTTCTAAATTATTAAACAGTAGATATGTTACCTATCTTGCTAGCATTGAATAAATATACAACTAGTAAGGTGGATTGTGTAAATAGCGTGGTTAGACTCATCCTATTATTAAATTTATTTTAGCGTATTTTCCTTCACTTGAAATTACAGAGGAATCCCTTTTAAGAGAAGAGAATCGCACTGCAGGTCTCATAGACACACAAGCTCAAGGAGCTGTGAAAGGAAACTGCAGGATTTAGAGTTAGGCGAGATAATCAAGTAAAACATAGTACTCTATTTGATGATTTAAATCGAAATTTGGCCCAACTTTTAAACTTTTGAATACCAGTAATACTACCTTCGTTCTAAATTGTAAGCCATTCTGTCTTTTTATCTGTATAGTTTTATGTACCAAGATATACAAATACATAGTAAAAGATATGTATTGAACCAGAACAACTTACAATCTTGAATCGAGGGAGTAGTAATCAAAATGATTGGTTTGAACTTAGTAGCCGAAAACATGGAACATGGCCACGTTCTTGTTCCAAGAACGTCGTTACGGGAACAATCATGTTCCTATTCTAGGAATATTTACGTTCTCATAGTACAAGTATATTATAAAGTATATCTCCACGTTCTCATTCCCATTCCATGTTCTGCCACACCTGGTTTTAAGAACAAAACCGAATGCTAACTATATGTATGTTGGGATCAATTTTCATACATACAGTGAATCATGAGTGAATAATCAATAATCATGTTTATTAAACAAGTGTATATTATTCTTATAAAAGAGACACAAAGGTTTAACAAAACACAAAAGCGGAAACTCCAATCTCATGGTTGAGCTCCACTCCATATGAAGATTGATTGGAGCACCATATGCCAAGCACTTCTGGTAGTCTTCTGGAAACTTCTCAGCATTGTCAGTGATATGGACCCAAGGTACCTCATTGCCCATAGAAGAGCCCACTGCGGATAGGGTGGGACGAAGATGTCAGATATGAGGCCCGACCAAGATAGGGTGCATCATCGACGATTTGAACTGATTAAACCCAGCTGGGAATTCCATACCACACGACATATGTAGGTTCCCGACTTATATATATCAACCTACCCTCAGATCCTCTAAACAAGAACGGGTCCGCGCCACCCGAGAATATAGTACTCCACCAGTCCAGCCCATTGCCACGTGGGTACACGCTATTCCCGCCATCTCTCCACTCCCAGTGCGCGAGTAGCCATTCTCGTAATAGAATAGCCAAGTTAAGGCTTACCAGAGTATGTGGTTAGTACTACAAAGTCTCACCTCATGCAATTGAACAACGGTACGGGCCTTAATCGACACAGGCGGAAAGAACCCACTCACAAGACCTCCATGTCTTGCGACTCCCATACACCGAGTCCACCCAGTCTAGATTTATTACTCCACATTCCCATATCACATGATAACATAAATAACCAAAGATCCATTTAAAACTTGCAGATGACAGGTAATCACCCGACTTTCATCATTCTAAGCATAGCTAAGCAAAACTAGGCATATACGAATTTAAAACTGGTAATATGGTAGATATGGAAAAACAATGTTGGTAATGTACCAATTAGGTTTGCACTCGACTCCTAATCACTTAATGCAGTAAAGAAAAGCAAAAGCGAAATCAATTTGTAAATCACAAGGTAGGTTTAAATGCATCCGGGGCTTGCCTTCGTTGACGGAAAAATCTGGGTCCAGAGTCGTTCCACCGATATCAACACCAACCTCCACAGACGGATCAACCTCCTCAACTACTTGATTAACTATCACGTGCTCACCTTCGTTCACTATACGTAGTAACAATGCCATGTTTAACATGACGCAAGATACAAAATATGATGCTCGATGATGAATGCAAAAGTTAACGACTTGAATATAACTTTCCTTCACGGTACAGTTACAAGTCAAACTAACCAAACCATTTTCGTAACACTCACATCAACTGCCAAGGATCATTCCCAACTAATGACCCAAGGACATCACTCAATCAAAAATTCAAACAAAACCTAAATCACTAAAGGTTACTATTTGCCTTTATGAATTAATTAATTAATTAAGAATTATGAAATAAATCAACTTGTTCCAATTGACCTCAAAATTTTTTCAAATGTTCATCACATGATAACTAAGTGGAAAAACAATTTTTATAATTTTTGGATACATAAATAAGCCTAGAAAATCCTAGGAACTCATTTATTAATTAATTGAGCAATTTTTATCACATTCAAAAAGTACAGAAAAACAACATTTCATATTTTTATTAAATAGTATTCATCACAGAGAGATCACACAAAAAATTTCCTAATTTTTGGAGCTCTAAATAAATCTACACAAAAATAACAAATTGCATCACTATTCTTTCAAATCTGAAAAACAGAAAATTCATTTTGAACTACACAGTCGCTGACACCCGGGTCCCACCTGTCATCCCCAACCTCAAGCTTTGACCGCGATGGCGACGGCGCTGACCGGCGCTAACTCGCCGATGGTGAGTCCAACGGTGAAGGCAAAGGCACCAACATGTTCCCCACGACTATGCGCATCAACTGACGTCCTTAGTTGCAACGATTGCTGCACAAAATGAGCACGGCAACGGCCATGGCGGACACGGCGGCTCGGCGGTGCTACGCCGGCGAAACAAAACTGAAAACGGTGAAACAAAAGGCACATGAAGAACCAAGAGCTCACCCCGATCATGTTGAAGGCGATGGACAAGCCAGAGGAACAACAGAGAGGTGGGTCGACGTTCACAGTGGTCACGGCGAAGCAGAGATCGTCGGTGAGGGCGATCCGGTGACTGTAGTGGCAAAACAACCAAACAACAATGGATTAAGCACCATAGCATCGAGACGAAGCCGTAGGTAAACAGATCAAAGGCAACGGCTCACCGGAGGGCGCTGGCCGCGGTGAAACGGGATCTCTGGGGAGGTTGCCGGCTGCGAGGAAGAAGGGTGCTCACAGTAGGTTCCTGGCTAAATCAGACTACCAAAGCTGGCTGGGTGGATGCTCAAGAAGGAGACGGAGCTGGAACTGGCTTTAGCTGCGACGGTGGAGAACTACAACGATGGTGTGAGCTCGCCGGAGATGAGCAAGGCCGACGGGAAAAACAAAGAAGAAAAGAATGACAGCGACAGCGTCTCAGCCTTATAGAGCGGCTCAGAAGCTCAAGGAAGCCACGACGATGCCTTCCCTACGCCAGCGCGAAGCCAAGGCCGCCACGCTCACGCCTGGAACGCCAAAGACGGTCGGCGGCCATGTAGCAAGAGCGGTGAACAATGTTCATCAATTTTATAGAATTGCCATCCAGTTTGAAACTCAAATTACTCCCAAATTTTTGTAACAACTCAAAAATCTCCAAAAATAAAAGTTGTTTAAAATCAAAAGTTCTACAACTTTTCTTTTATAACCATATCCAAATTCGGTCTACATTTTGAAATGCAAATTTGAATTCGAAAAGGGGACATTTAAGGAATTTCGCCTTTT